CCAGCCCACTTTGGCCATGAACTCACAATCCTCCTGCCTTGCCTCAGAGCTGGGACTCCAGTCATGAACCACCGTACTCAGTACAGTAATTCAAGTTTTTGAATGCCATGACTAACACACCCATCAGAAATGTTTCTCTTTAAGTATATATTGAATGTTTCTTGCTTTTTTTTTTAACTTGAGACTGGGGTTTGAACACACATGCAAAGCAGGCACTCTACCACTTGAGCCACACCTCCAGTCCATTTTGCTCTAGGCATTTTGGAGATGCAGTCCATGAACTATTTGCCCAGGCTGGCTTCAAACCAAGATCCTCCTGATCTCAGCCCCCCAAGTAGCTAGGATGATAGGTGCAAGCCATCTGTGCCTAGCAAATTGAATGTTTGTTTTTTTAATGCCAAATTGAATGTTGTTTTTTTTAATAATCTGCTTGAAAAACATAAAATCAAATACCATACAGATTAACTGCTTCTGATTCTTCAGGAGGTAATTGAAATGGGCAAAGAGTATCCAAAGAAGGGCTGGAGAGAACTTGAGAGATTAAAGCTCATAAACAAGTATTTAAGAGTCACTTTGACAAATGAGAAACTCTGGAGCATGATGGGAAACAAGAGAAATAGGAAAGATAAGAAAAAGAACATACTGAGCAAATGTGATTTATCTGCATGGTTGATTTAATATTCATAAATCATTCAATGTGAATGACTTTACTACTTAATATAATAAAATGATCATTCGACCTCCTACAAGTCTGATGTCTGCTTTCTTAACTCAGCAAGATTGACATTTTCTACTTCCTACTCTGGAGTTTGGAAAACACCTCTCAGCAGAAACCCAGAACTGTTCTAGGGCTTAACTCAATTGTTTTCATCTTTTCAGAGATCAACTTTCCGTGCTATTTCTTATCTAATGTCTAAAACCTTTATCTCATGTATTTTACTCAGTTTTTAGTTCATTATAGTAGGAGGAAAAGTCTGATCCACAATATTCCATCATGACCATATAAAATAAAAACAGCACTCTTCCTGCCAATGTGGAATGAATAATGGGGAAGTAAGAGTTATAGGCAGAGAACCCAATGAGGGCTCTATCACAGTAGTTCAATGATGGACCCAGATGGCAGCAGTAGAAATAGAAAGAGGTGGACAGATTCACCATATGTTTCTGAATTGGAATTACAGGCTACTGTAAGGTGAGCAAAAGGGAGGAAAAGAAAATAAGGATGATATTCTGGTAGGTTGTGACATCTTAATAATAACATGGAAGACTGTACACTGAACACTTTGGAGGTGGTTTGGGAAGATGAATGAGGTCCTCTTTCCCCTGCTGCCTCTCTATTCTTTCAATGCCTATTTCACTTTAATTCCTAAAAAGTTCAACAAATTCTTTGGCAGAAGCAGACTGGTTGGTGGGAAGGCATAGGGAGTAAGAAAGAAGAGTCTGTGGTTTTGTTTTTTTTTAATCTAGTCACAGTGCCACATTTTATATAAGGACTGGGTTCTTTAAAAACCTTTTATATGTCAAAAATGATAATAGGTGTCATCTGGAATTGTGTATCTCTAAATTCATGAATAAATGAGGAAAAAGATACAAGTTGGTATATAGGTGAAGAAACATGACAAAACACAAGGATCCCTGGGAGGGACAACAACAAAGGTCAAATAATTTTCACAAGAAGGAATTCATTCTCATTCAATTTCTTGCTAATTCTATCACCTCTTAAAATTAGCCTTTCTCCTTTTAATAGACACATATTAAGGTATACTGTGAGGAACAGTGGTTCTACTTCCCTGGGAACCACAGTGCCCACACTCAAGCACCAGAAGGTTTATAGGGATTAGCTTCCAGGAGTCCTGTTTGCTGGAATCCCTCTTCTCTAGCTTGCGGAATTGGTCCAAGAGAATGCACCTCACCCACACCAAGTCAATCAGAGTCCCTCTCATGAGGATTTAGAATTGGGATGTAAAGATTACAAATTAGTCCAAGTACCCAGGCCTGGTGGCCCGCCTCTAATTTTAGCACTCAGAAGTCTGAGGCAGGAGGATCTCAAGTTGGAGGCCAGCCTGGGTTATACAGCAAGTTCAAGGTCACCCTAGACAACATAGTAAGACACTGCCTCAAAAAGAAAAAAAAAAAGTCAACGTTAAAAAAAAATCTAACCTATGACTGTAACATACAAGCTCAAATACTGAAATGGAACAGTAAGGCTTTTTTTTCCATGTGGACCAGTGGCACAGAAAAAGGCAAATGAACAAAGAAAAAGGAAATTAAGCAGGCACTAAGAGAGAAGTAGAAATAAAAAGAGAAAGACGTAAAGTGCATTCCTAACATCTTTCCAGTTCCTGATTTCATTCTCTTCCTGAATCCCTGAGTTGCATGAGACTTCTGGTTATCTTTGAAAAAATTTTCTACCTGCTTTTGCTCAAGCTAACTGAAGATGGCTTCTTGAAAGCTGAGATTTTTTTTTTTTTTTTGCACTACTGGGGTTTGAACTCAGGGCCTCATGCTTCCTGGGCAAGCACTCTATCATTTGAGCCACTTCACTAACCCTTTTTGTGTGTGTGTGTGTGTGTGTGTGTGTTTTGAGTATTTTTGAGATATGATCTTACAAACTATTTCCCCTGAGCCACAATCTTCCTGATCTCTACCTCCAGAGTAGCTAAAATTACAGGCATGAGCCACGAGCACCCAGCTAAGCTAAGACTCTTGATGAAAATACTGTGGCTTTGCTGGGTGTCATGGCCCACACCTATAATCCCCACCCTTGGGAGGCTGAGGCAGGAGGATCATTCAAGATCAGGAGTTCAAGACCACCCTGGTCAACACAGCGAGATTCTGTAATAAAAACAAAAAATCTGTGGTTTTTATCTTTGTACATGTATTTTCCCACACTGTCCTACTATTCTCTGTAATTCAACCGCTAAAAAGAGGCATTTCTCTACAGCATATTGTGAACTGAGTATAACAATGAATAGAAATGAATATAATATGACTGATGAATTTTGGAGTAAGACTTGCATTACATAAACATGTATTCATTAGCTAAGGGGAAAAATTATTGCACTGACAACAACATAGCCAGATCTGCATTATGTCTAGGAAGAGGATAGTATATATTATGGGGAGAGGGAAACATGTGGAGAATCTGGAGTCTTTAAATAGTATTATCATTTGGTTCCTCTGGCCCTCTAAGCCATGCCCTTTGCTTGTCCTATTCCTACCTGCCCTGCTAACATAGTCAGCTAATCTACCATTGATGAAACCAGTCTCTGATCTTTCTCACTTGGTAAGAGCCTTGAGGCTTTCCTGGGTGACTCAGCCTAACCTCAACTCTCATTAGCCCCTCTGAGACTCAGGTAAGCGGGCCATAAAAGTCTCCTAAGTCTTGACTATGTCAAACAGAAGCTGAGACAAGCATGAGAAAACTAAAACTCAGAATCTGTCCTATACAGTTAACAGGAGCTGGGTCTTTACCTATCAAACAGAAAGTACATTATGTCTGATTGCTCTTACTCTTCTCCATCCCACAATTTCTCACAGCTAGGATGGACATGAGCTATGCCTACGTCCTATCTGTAATGTGCCAAAACACCCCAGCCAAGCAGCAGTTACCTAAGTGCAAATAGTGATAACATACAGAGGTACAAGGAGGGACTCTGAGTCAGATTCTCTGAGTTTGAGTTCAGGCTACTCCCCTTTCCACCTCTGCAGTGTGAGAAGGTTCCTTTAACCTGCAGGTTTCTCAGCTTTCTCATGTGTAGAATCACAGGTTCGTAACAGTGACCAATCCCTAAGGTTGTAATATAAAGAGTTTCTTAGAACAGTGATTGAGACATATGAAGCATTCAATAAAACTATTATGATTACTCTGTTACCTGAGTCCTCTGGTCTCCACCTTCAATAATTTAAATTAAATAAAATGGCTTGAATTTCCCATAAAATACAAAATCAGGCATCATACTGACAACGGTTTCAGACTATTCACTAAATAAAAATCCTACCAGATTATTGTCAATATATTGTACTTTCTATTAAAGTTCAACGACATAATAACAAAAGCTATAGCTAACAGTCTTAGTCTAGTTTGTGCTGCTAAAACATAATATCTGAAACTGAGTAATTTATAAAGAACAGAAATTTATTTCTCACAGTTCTGAAGGCTGGAAAAAGTCCAAATTCAAGGCATTGACATCTGGGGAAGGCCTTCTTGCTGAGTCATCACATGACAGAAGGGCAATGTGTAAGAGAACCAACCACTCCTGCAAGGCCTTTAATAATGGCACTACTATTTAAGGAGACAAAGACTGAATAACCTACACACCTCTCATTAGGCTCCACCTCCCAACACTGCCACACAAGACTAGTTTCCAACACATGATGGGGGGCACATTCAAACCATAGCACGGGTCATCATTTAGTGAGCACTTCCTTGTGTATCTGGTTCTAAGCTGAGCATTTTACCTGCGTTAGTTAGTTAGTTCTTCTAACCACCCTTTGAGGTAGGCATTTATTATGATCCTTATGACAGGCTTCTGTTGATGTTTAGCACAAAAAGAAAGCAAATTTGAAACAGTTTGTTCTTAAATAGAATTTTTTCTCAGTATCACAAAATACTAGGTCCTTGTTCTCTTTTGGGATTTTCTGATACGTTTGATTCTTTAAAAAAAAAAAAAAGCTGTAAATAAAGCTTAAAAAACAAATAACAGCCATTTCAAATGAAGTTTAATTTGTGTATGTGCTAAAATTGTGAGGAATTTTTAATGACTTCCCCCACATGCTTATACATTGTCTCTTGAATTCAAGCTCCCAAAGCAATTTAATTTTAAACAGAGTATTTAGTCTGTTCAAGGCAGTGAAGGAACTCAAGAAATTTGTGACATTTTATATTTTTTTCTTCATAAGTTTTTAACACTCATAGATAGCTGTAAGTTATACTGTATATAATTTTACCAGTGAAAACACTAATTTTGTGTCAAACAGCGTTTTTACTCTGTGATTACCTGTTAAGAAGGTTTTCCACTTCTTGAACTTCTGATATAGACTCCTCATTATCAGGAAGGACACGAGTTTGAAATTTTCTATCTTGGAAATCATACAGCATCACAATAATAAGACTGCTCAAATGATCTGGCTAACACATAAAGGGGAAACACACAAAGCAATGTATACAAACAATGTCTACTAGCAATATTTTCATATCATTATTTTTCATAACAGCAGGAATATGATAATTTTACATAATCTGTTAGGTTTGAAAATAGGGAAGGTCTTCAAAAGAGGGGGAAATCCAGTTTTGAAAAGTTTCAAAAAAGAGAGTTTTGGGTATGTTCACCAAAATGAAAGGACAAGAGTCAGTATTAGAAGGAGGAGAGTGTGTATTTTGAAAAGGTTGTCTACTTACTATTGTGGAACTTGGGAAGATATAGCTGTCTATTAATATAGTTTCCAAAATATCTTGATCTGCAAAACAGTGGAAATAGCTGTTACCAAAACAGCTAAGCTAAAAATGAAAACTCTGGAATTCAATACATTACGTTTACTTTCACATCTAAATTCTTTATAAAGACTTAACTTGCAATGGTCTGATAAGATATTTATCTTTACGAGTCCTGGCCCTAATGACCCAGGTGCTACATGGAGTCAGTCAAGGAAGCATCATTTGAATAAGCAGAGTAGTTGTAAAGGAATTCTGACCTTTAATTTATGACCTTCAAAGACATTAAAGAGAATGTAATTAATAATGCTAAGCTACACTTCTCTTATCCTTTTTAAGCACAGTTGGATTTGATTTGCTAATATTTTATTTAGGATTTTTGTTCTATGTTCACGTTTAGATAATTTCCTTTTCTTGTTAACATCCTTGTCAGTGTTCTGCTGACCTTCTGAGTAAAAAGTGTCCCCTCTTCTTTCATTCTCTTGAACAGTTTGTGTTAGAATGGCATTATTTCTAACTTAGATATTTGGTAGTGAAGACAGTGATGAGATAACAAAGTTGTCATGTTAATTTGTGTGTGCACAGAAGTTGAGGTAGAGAGAATAGAATTATTGCAAAGGTACTATGTGGAAACAAGTAGACATATTTTAAAACTTCCAGAGTTCCAGAGTTTTATACAGCTCTTTAAATTGTATATGTGTTGTCTAGCAGATGCTTTAACCAGCTGTGTTCAAAAAGGCCTAGCTTCAATTCATTCAACATTCATGGAAAACTAGTCTACATGGAATTTCCATCTTTATTTGGGACACAGGAAAATGAAAGAAGACTAATTTGAGAGCAGAGACTTCAATATTCATAAGAAATCTTCTATGAAACCTTACGCATATTTCAGCCACCAATTATGGACATACTATACAAGGTAATAGTCCCATTTCATTTATAAGGAAAATGAAGTTCAGAGTTACCCCCTGCTACTTGCAAACCAATTTTTCTCAACTTCATAGTTTCCCAGCATAAATCCCAGTTGTTACAGAAAATATAGTCTTCATAAGAATGAAGGGCTTCTAACATAGCAGACTGGGATAAGCTGAAGAATTTTTGTGCAATGGAGCTGCGGGGTGCCTACAAAATAACAATGCAAAAAAGAAAACAGAACATGATACCAGCAATTGGTATCTAGGACTCTTACCAAAAACACTATCACCTCTGTGCTGCCTTTCATTTGTACATGAAGCATTATCTTTGTACATCTAAATTTACATCACATTCTCACATAGTCCTATCAATGTGAACAACTGTACTTTTATACAAAGTGTTCTATGGGCTTGAAATTGTTCTAAAGTCTTGTTATGTATTAACTCATTTAATCTTCACAACAATCCTGTGAGTCAGGTACTATGACTATCCCTGCGTTATAGGAAATGAGGGACAGAAGAGTGAAAGAAAACATTCACAGTCACACAGTAAGCAGCAGATGAGGGACTCAAGCCCAGGCAGTCTGGCATCCGAGTGCATGCTCTTCACAGAACATTGTGCTGCCTTTCCTCATCTTATTCTTGTAACAAACCAATAAAACACTCATTTTATGAGTCTCATTTAGGTTATCAGGACCTAGTTAAAAGTTACAAACCTTTCCTATCCTAGAATTCCATCCCAAATTCCAATTATTCCCCACCCCCACCCCAATAAAGCCTCTTCTTTTACTCTGTTGCAGAGAACTCACCCCCTCACTCCTCCTGGATTCTCTCTCCCCTTGACTCCCACTTCCTATGAAAGGCAAATGGAGTTGATTTGATCAGTGAAGTTGGAAAAAGCTGGGCCTCTCTCTCCTCCCCACCCCCTTCTTTCTGCCAGTTTGTCTGCAGGAGACACGTGCACTCCAGGTGTGCAGAGGTCTGGATGACTCAGCTGGACCATGGAGGTGGGGAAGTCTCTTGCTCAGGAGTAAAGATCTGTAAGCATTCTTGACAAGAGCTCTAAAGCCACATCCCCATTTCTCTCTCTTAACTGGTTCCAAACTCGGAAGTAAAAGAGAAATCTATTAATTCCTAAAATTCACTGTCCATCTGGCCATTATTCCCATTTTGAAAGATGTTTCTTCCTTTGACTCCTGGAGGTTCTTCCTATTTTTATTGTTTTTCTGGAGGTCCTTCATATGAGGGACTACTACAGCCTTCACTTCAAGAATGCCACTCTTCCAGCCCTATTTCCAGCTCACCATTTTAGCAGCCAATATTCCACACATTTCTGGACCATCTCTTTGGACCTACATTCAGTCAGTTTACAAACCAGTATAAAGTTTATAGTCACAACTAGTACAAAAACAGGTCCTTTGCCAGCTTTCCTCATAATAACAATATCCAGTTACCTTATAGTGTCAATTCCACACTCAGAAGTTTATATTTCACAGCCATTAAAAAACTCTGAAAAAGTCTGAGTCTGGAACTGGAAGCAAATTAGAAAGGGGAACCCTACTTAAGTTTGGGTCCCCAAACTAAAGCTATTGGCTAAGAACAGGACAATCTTAATTGGGGACTGATTTAATTTTGGTATTCATTTTTAAAATATTACACCTTTTTTTTGGTGGAACTGGGGTTTGAACTCAGAGCTTCGTGCTTACAAAGCAGGTGCTCTATCACTTGAGCCCCAACTACAGTCCATTTTGCTCTGGTTATTTTGGACATGGGTCTATTGAACTATTTGCCTTGGCTGACCTCAAACTGGGATCCTTCAGATCTCAGCCTCCCAAGTAGCCAGGATCACAGGAGTGAGCCACTGCAGTAGACTGCACCTTTTCTTTTTATTTCACCACTGTTCCTTTCCCCACTCTGCCTTAATGGTGTTATAATTGAGAGAGCTCATTAACTAAACGACAAGATGTAAACACACAAGAATACAATGGAAAGAAATATATAAGGAGAGGAAAACGATTAAACTTAAGATACTTGAGTGGATTCATGCTCTCCCTGCCAGTCGAATTCTTTCCTGATCATTTTAATGACGGCCCTATGCCTTCTAAGGACAAGGGACTATGCTAGGCACCAGCAAGGTGCAGCAGTGAAAAACAGCTGGCGTTTCACGGGAACTCCCGATTCCTGATGTATGTACTTGACCACGGATGTGCACGTGGATGGAAACAAAACCTGGGCGAAGGGTTTTGTCGCACAGATGCCCTTTTAGCGCTGATCTTCAACAGTGGCACTACTCACACTTCAGGGCACTGAACGCCAGCTCATAGGACAAACGCTGAAAGGATTCATCCTCAGACTCGGGCAAGGACGGCAGGGGTTCGCTCCCGTACTTGATAATGACTTTCTCAGGCGACTTTTCTATTCGAATACCCTGAAAAATATTCGCAGCCATAACGTACACGGGATCCGGGTAACCAGTTTTTTCGGGGACACTGATGGGACTTTTGTCGCTGGATGCTGCGTCACCCGGCAGCTCCTGGGCAGCGAGTAGGGGGATCTCGTCCTCGCTGTTTTCTTCTTTGGAAAAGTCCACGTCGCCGGTGGAGTTGAGCATGTCTGCCCCTCTCTGGCGTCAGTCACTCGAGCTTCAGCTACGACTCAGATGGTGTGGGAAACTGTTTTCCTTGCATCTCAAGCATCGTCTCTGTGAAAAGAAAGCGTTATGGGGTAAATCACTGTTTTCTGCACTATTTCTTGGTGGCCCCTTTCGAGGTGACATTTTCTGGCGGATCCGAGCATCCCAGGATGCGAGGCTGGAAGCCCCAAGGAAAACCGGGCTTGGAGAGGCTGCTGCCAACGCCTCCCTAGCGACTGTGGCCGCGGCCCGTTCGAGGACAGCTCCCTCGGCCCGCGTCGGGCCCCGCGGCCGCCGACGCGCCCTTACCCCGAGGGCGGATGTTTCCCGGGGCTGGGGAACGCGGCACTTGAGGCCACGGGAGGCCAGTCTCCGCAACAAGCCCTCGGGAGCACGGGCGGCGGCGGCGGCGGCGGCGGCGCGGCGACTGCCGCCCGCTAAGGCCGTTTGGTTCAAATGCAGCCACTCCCACCGCCTGGATTCGGACGGAGAGGGGGGGACGCGGCCGCCGGCGGCCCTTTGCTCAGTTCTGCGAAAGACGGCGCTTCTCCAGGGCCTCGCCTGGTCTCGCGAGGAGGCCTCGGCGAGCGCGGCGGCGGAGAGCTGGGAACAAGGCGCCCGGGAGGCGACAGGCTCGAGGGACTGAAGTGGCGGGCTCCCCCCGCCTCCAGCTCTCGTAGTCGACCGCTCCGGGACCCTGATCTCCACGGCAACCCGGAGGGCGGGCGGGGCGGGGCCGCCCTCTGGATCTTCGCGCGAGAATTGGCGGGCGGCGGCTCTCGCTCACGGAGTTGCGCTTTTCCTCGCGCGCGCTGTGGTGCCGGTGGCAGCCTGTCTTCAACGCCGCGAGCTTGTCGCCTTTATAAACACTTGGAGAGCTTTGTCAGAGGGTCTCTGTAAGTCAGTGGTGTCCAGCTGTCGTGCGCCCGAAGTTTGTGTTAAAAAGTGTAAATTTCCCAGAATCCATCCCGGCAACGCAATTTGCATTTTTAAGCAGGTTACCCAGGTGGGCTAAACCAATCATTTCAAAACTCTACTGCAGAGTTTCCACCTCTGTCTCTCACTTGGAATAGTCCTTTGACCTCTCGGAGCTTCTGTTTCTTCTATAGTAGATTAATTCTCCCTGCTTACTCTGCGTGGAAGTTGTGATTTTTTTTGAATCTTCCATCCTGCGTACCTGTCATGCCGTATCTTCTGGGCCACAGGGTAAAAATCCAAGCCTTTGGGAAAAGCAGAATAGCGTCTTCTAGTAGCTGGCCCTAGCCGCCATTTCCAGCTTCATTGCTGGCATCCTGAAGCTAGTGCCCAAATTTCCATTCCTTTCTACATGCTGTTCCTTCAGTCTTGAAAAACTTCCATATTTGTCCACCTGCCTGAGACTCGCTTTGCTTGTATTAGTACGTATTTGCTTTTGTTTAGCTGCTGGCACGGAGGTCTAAAATAAGGAGCTTAAAACAAATTTATTTCTCACATAAAGGGCAGTTGGTCCAGTGACACAATTCCACAAAGCTGCCAGGGGCTGCATCTAAAGGATTTGTCCTTGTCCCTTTAGTCTTAAGATGGCTCCTCCTATGTATGTTTCCAATTAGCAGTAGGAGGGATCAAGGAGAGGGAGAGGACATGGCTCTGCCAGGCAAGGGTATGACCTGAAAGAGGTACCCTTCACATTTGCTCACATTCCTTTGACTAGAACTTAGTCACCTGGTGTTCCTAGTAACAAAGGAGGTCAGCGAGTGTGTTCAGCTAGAAATCAAGATAAGGGAGTCTGCTACAGACCTGTCCCTCAGGCCCTTCTCCCACCAATCCACTTGTTTCCATTATCCCCAGAATGTCAAACGTGTGTCCTCTTCTATGTTTCCCTCTCATTCTGTTCATACATGCATTCATTCCTTAACAAATATATATTGAATTCTTACTGTGTGCCTGTCATTGTGATCAGCACAGAAAGCTAGAAGTGAATGTATAGAAATGACCTTGCCCTAGAGAAAGTAACAGTTGGGTTATTTAGGCACCCTTCAGTTTTTAATATAAATGTTTGTGGTCATATCTGTACATTGTCCTTACTTCTGCTAGCCATCTCCACACACAGTGCACATAATCTAAAATGATTTTGTTAGATCTATATTGTCTTTTTTATTTTTATTATATATCTTTCTATTCCCAGATGCTAGCATAATATCACCCTCACAGAAGATTATAGATATGGACAGTGTCTTGAATGTCATGATACATTTTATCATGCATCACACAGTACCTGCCACAATCTGTAGAGAATGTGAGACTCTAAATAGATAGCTATAAAGTTTTAAATATTATTTTTCGAAGTATAACTTGAGCTTTTCTTGTATAACAGGTCAATGTAAATGACACTTCTCTATATTGAAAACAAGATTTAATAAGAGAATTCATATTCCCAAAGTAGAACTTAGGCAAACAGTTATGAGTTAGCAAATTCATGGTTACTATTTATTTTAATCATGTGTATAATCCTTCTTTCTTACCTTTCACTCCTGGTTATGCCCTCCTTGTGGACTTATTGTATTAGAGGGGAGAGCTAGAAGAGAAGATACTAGATTTCAGTGTACACTGTAAAAAAGTAACTATAGAGATAAGTTTATGGATTCAATTGTTGTGAAAGCAGAGTAGTAAAAAATGTAGTCTTTGTTTAATTCACACTGTATAATGTGATCAGAACATTAAATCAGAGATGGTGGAGAAAATTAAAAGATAGATGCCTGGGGCTTTCTGCCAAAGGAACTCAAAAGAGTGTTTTTCTTTCCCCAGAGGGTAAAGTATTTGAGATAGTTGTAAATTAACATTCCTCTCATTTGACTCAGAGTACTAGTATATGTTAGCCATGTAAGTATTCAAAATACATTTACTCCCTTGCTTTGGTTTAATCTGGACATAGAAAATTGTGCCCAGTTCCACTGGTGCCTTTCAGAAATGTGAAAGGCATATGAACTATAAAGAATTTTAACTTCTGATCTTAAACATTAGGACTCAGTTTCTAATTGTTGCTTCTTAGAAATTCTATGGTTGATTTTCTTTGAAACACTTCTTTATTATTTTTCATTTTATAAAAGTAACCTCTTGAGGGACTTAAGCTATGTCCAACTTGGAACTCTGGGATACTAGGTCAGGCAGTAATGAATCTTACGTGGGTAAGAATCCTCAGGACCTCGTGGCTAAGGTGCATTTGGGTGGCCAGATAGTCAGATGCTAAAATATTCCATCCCCAGAGAATGAAAATGGAAAGATGACCAAGAAGAGGGGATAGGGTTTGTCCTCATCGAAACTCATGTTGAGGCTTGGTCCCCAGTATAACATTGTCTGTTATACTGACATATAACAGTATAATTTTATATTGTATAAGATTGTGAGACCCTTAAAAGGTAAGTAAGTAATGAGGTCTCCATCCTCATGAAGGAATTAATGTAATTTCCTTGACAGTGGGTTACTTATCACAAGAGCAAGTTGTTACGAAGTGAGCTTGACACTGCCCCTCTGCTCTCACACACGTGCTTACCTTCTTCAAGTGACCACTTCCCCTTCTACTTCTCTGCCCTGAATTGACACAACCTAAAGCCTTTACCAAAAGCTGAGCACATACTATTGACATGCTCTTGGATTTCCCACCCTTCAGAACTATAAGCCAAAATAAACCTCTTTATAAATTAGTCAACCTCAGGTATTTTGTTGTAGCAACAGCAAGCAAACTAAGTCACCCAAGAAGGCACCAGCTGAGATAGTGAGCATCATCTTCTGATACTGAATGTGGGTGGAGAATGGAGGAGTGCTTTGCCTATGCTAAAAGGAAACATTACTCTTGCCCTGCCCTTGCAGACACCTGTCCAAAACAGCTTGAAAAGGAAATGGTGAGTTGGCAATGCAAAGATTCCTTTAGGAAAATCAAAATAAAATTATGGTTTCTTTAGTACAGTACCATCAAGGATTAGCCAAAAGAAGCTAATCCCCTTAATTTGCAAACAAAAGACCAAGTGGAGTAGAACAAAGGGTCAGCAATAGCAGTTCAAGGTCAGCACCAGTAGAAACAACATTCTGAGATTTAGAAGCCAAAGATGACAGTAGCAACCAAGGAGGAGTCTGAGTTACCTAGTGAGCAAGGGGAAAAGAGGACTTGGGAGAGTTTTCATCCCAGCCCCTGACTGTTCTTAGTAGTTTAGGAGAAACAGGGTTGCAGTAGACAACTCTCGGTAATGGATTAGACCAGCATGATATTCCCAACACGATGATTCAAGCACTACCTTCATAATTCTTTTCCTATCCATATCCTGCCAATTTAAATTATTTTTCCATTACATTTATGCAGTATATTAAATCAGATTTACTATTTTATTTAAAGAGAAAACTCATAATAGACAATCAGGATTATTTGCCATGAATGAAAATAACCACAAAAAAGCAAAAATAATACTATTATCTTATAGCTAGCAAAGATTGTACCAAGTCTTTCAGCATTAGATTCACTCTTCTTTGCTGAAAAAGGAGGTGGCAATAGTTGAAAGAAGTTAAATACTGGTGCAAGACCCTCTCCCTGTCAGAGGATTGAGGATTGAACTAAAGCAGTGTTCTCACTGTGTAGTTAACTACGTTCAATTCTTCATCTGCACACTGCTCGAATCATCTGCCGTACTTCAGTGGTGCTGGCCCCACTGTTGGGGTAACATTGCATTAAAAAATTTGAGCTCAAGGCTGGAGATGTGGCTCAAGTGGCAGAGTACTATCGTGAGGCCCTGAGTTCAAACCCCAGTGCAGCCAAAAAAGAGAGATTTGAGTTCAAGAGTTAGAGGAACAGTGCTTCCTCTGAAAGAAGAAGAAGGTACATGAAATTCAAAACTAGTCAAAAAGAAATTAGAAAAATCTCACGTCACGGATGAATTCAGCCCAATTCTGTGGCCCTGTGTTAATGGGTATGTTGAAACTACAGTCAGAAGTCTTAGTTTCTCATGCCAACATTGTCATGAGTTTCTTGTATAACACCAGGCAAGTCTCTTCACTCCTTATAGTTCCTGGTGATTTATTTACTAAAGAACAAGTGGGTGGAGAAGGATTTGAAGAGACTGAGAAGGGTTGGCACTCTATGGGGAAAGTGATAGGAAATAAAGAAAACACAAATAAACGTTTTAGGTTGCTGAGCAACATGAGGCCCTAGCTTGCACAGGCCTAGTGTGACCAAAATGTTCTGGAGGCACACAGAGCTTGATGTAACACAGAAAGCTCTCCATGCTTAGGCCTTGGTTAGGGAAGCAAAAAAGAATAAAAGAGAATAAGAAAGAAATTTCCCAAACATTGTTGAAGGTATGCAAGCACATGGATTAATAGACTCATGTGTAATGCCAGGCTTAATACCAGCATGGTAAAGATAGCACCAATCAATTTTGCTTCTGGTGCTCAATATA